TAGCTGAGTAAACAGGAGGAGCTCACAGTGGTGTAGTCCTCTGAGAGTAACTTTGAGATGAGGAGGAGGAAGAAGAAGGTGGGGAGAGAGAAAGGTGGGGGCCTCTACTTGAGTTATGGTGATGGGTGGTGGAGGTATTTAATCTATTGGGTCTGAGAAACAAGAAAAGAGAGAGTCATAGTGGCGAGCTGATAAAGGAGGAGGACCTGTGTAGTGAGTCAAAATGATGTGGGAGGCCTTGCAGGTTGGGAACAGTTCAGGGAGTGCCCACAGCTGGACATAAAGTATTTACCCCCACTTGCCTGTTCAGTAGTAAAAGTTATGTAATTTCTTAATTTGAGCCTCTTTGGGCTGAGAGTTTGTTTTAGCCCAAGTGTATCTAAGTGTAGCCCAGAGGAGTGGTTTTGTAGGGTAATGATTGATTATTACCCATGTGTTTGAATTAGAGAAGTGAGGCAGGGGTTAGAAGGGTTGTGAGTCAGCAGAGAGTCATCACCCTCCAGTGAGGGACAGCCAGGAGTCCCTTAAGGGAGTAGAGTAGTCCCAACATGAATTCTCCAGTCGTCACCATAAAAGACAAGGGGGAGTCCTGAAGGACACAGAAGTCCCAGAAGGATGTAGAGTAGTACGGGAGGATGTCCTGACATGGCCCTGATTTACATGATTTAGAACAGGCACCAAAGTAGAGTAGAGAGGAGGCTCATCTTGGCCCTGACAGGATGAAGGCCAGTGTTGGATGTGGGCTAGACACAGCAAGGGATGGGGGGAGTCTTTAGTTCCAGAGAGAGAGAGAGAAAGAAGGAGAAGCAGAGAGGAAAGAGGTCCATAGGCCAGGGGGAGGGGGGCTCAGAATGGGGGATAGACCCCCCCAGGAGCCACACAGCCTCCAACTGCTGGAGTCACTGGCACCAACTTATGAATGATTTTTACTTGATCTAGGGCAGCACATAATATTAAAAGAGAGGAGGCAGGTAGATAATTAAAGAGTTTAATGGGAGAGGCCATGGAGGGAGTCACCACAGAGAAGGCTGTGGCAGCTCTCCTGCAGACAAAAGACAGGCTCTGTCTGATATAGGCTATGATGGGGGAAGGCCTTTGGGGACTGACGTGAGCTGATTTATTTTGTGAGAGTGCAGGGGATTGGGTAAACCCTTACATGCCTGAGCTTTGGCAGACTTTATGGAGGGAGAACCCATAGGAGCTTCTGGGGAAAAGGATGCATGCATTGGCAGGGCACAGCTTTGAACTATTGCCATGATGATTGTGCTGTCTCTCAGATGGGGAGACTTAACAGGGGGGTTTGCCTTACTCCTAAAATTCCTGGAAACATTTTGATTTTCTTAGCTTGCCCAAGAATAGCCCATAAGGCTCTGATGACCCCATTATGATTTTTCTCTACACAACTTTTCCAAATCTTCCAAACCTTCAACTACCCAGTCCCAGAGGCTTCTGAATCACATTGTCTTGTACAGTCTAAGAAGCAACCTTACTTTTCTCATGACAATTTAGTGTACAGGGATGCTTTCTTGTCACTGTGATAAAACAATCAGCATTCACATTTTAAAAGAGGAGTGGTGAACCTTGGTTAATGGTTTCATATAGTTTAGTACAGGGATCTCTGCTTTAAGGCTTAAACATCATTGTGAAAGGGCACACAGTCCCAAAGCTACCCAATTCATGCCAGCTTGGAAGGGAACTCTGAACAGAACTGGAAAAGAGTGGACAAGAGACCAGTGAAACTATGTAAGGTCACAGACCTGTCACTCTCCAAGGCATATGTACAAGTGCCCTCTACTAATCTTCTAGTTGGCCTCAAGCTCATTATATTAATAATCCTGTTTAACCGCTGCAGAGAGTGGTTCACTGGAAGAGAACTTGCCAATCACACTTGAGGTTCTGAGTTTGATTCCCAGAATTTACAAAAATGAAATTGATAGTGTTTAGAAGATGCATTGCAGGGTATAATTAATAAAAAAACATTGATACTGTATTAATATAGTTTATATGTCCCCATTTCTGAGGGAAAATACACAATAGATTTTATTAAAGTTTTAAAGGCCAAGCACAGAGTATCTGTAAACTTAGGTTGACTTCTTGTGTAGCTAGCCAATTAGAGATTTTATGCTTAAAATTATCTTTGAGATGTATATCAAAGTTAAAATGATTTCTTAAATTTGAAAGTAAAATTCAACTGAAAACATTCTTGAAGTTAGAAAAAGAAAAATATATTACATTTTTATCATATGAGAAGTAACATCATAAGTTATCAGGTTATAATGAAGCTTTTTGTGAAAAATACTGTCGTATGCCATAACAATCATGTCTGAAATAATCAAAATGAAAGTAATATTAAGTATAATCTAATGTAGAATATTATTAACTCAAAAACTTTCTTCCACATGAAAGGACACCTAGCCAGAAATATGAAAGTGAGAAGATGCATCTGGGTTGGGAGCCTCCCCTTCTGTGCAAAGCACACACTTTTCAATGGTCTAAATGTATGTAAGATGCAATCTTTATATTCAGATAGGATATGATTTCAAATATTGTACAAAGAGTATATACACATATTTGGAAAAAATGGGCACCTCGAATATTTTTAAATCTTTGTAAAATAATTTTAGAAATATGGAAGTTAAATCAATGTATATCGAACCAGATTTAACAAGGGCAAAACACATGCAAATGAAAAGCATTTAAAGGTAACATACTTAGAAAAAATGTACAAAATATATACAAATCATAATAAAACATATTTCACTGACCACAAGTATTTAAAGAAGCATAACTTACAATCGAATAAATGCAAGTTCTTGGGACAGATTTTTACACATTTTAATGCAAAGAAATCTGTTAAATGTGGCTGCTCCATGTGAGAAGTTAAACACTGTTGTCCACAGTAACATGCTTATATTATTTAAGACTTCATGTCTATTATAAAAGCTTATCATACAGAGTGAGAAATAATAGCAAGTAATTTTACAAGTATGCTAATGAATAGAAAATGCTAAAAATACTTCAAACTTTTTTTCCAATCTCTACGAATAATCAAGCACATTTAAGAGGTGTGTGGATTTTTGAAGGAGACTATACATAGCAAATATCTCTATATACACAAGAATATCAGTGATGTCATCACATCACCTTTGCGTTGGAAACACACAACACTAAAGTAAGGTGAAATCTGGTCATTATATGGCAATATATGAGACTCCAAAATGCTTTCTCTCTTGGTATCAAGTATTAACCAACCAAAACAAGTCCAAGTTAATCTCTTACAAATTTCCAGTCTATTAATCTGACAAAGCCTGGGAAAATGATAAAAGGAGACAGAAATGACAGGATCTTATTAAAGCATCATTTAATTTCACCTGTGACCCTCCATGTCCTAAGAGACCCCTAAGACCTTGTTGTGAGCTCTGTTCCTGAACACAGAGCAACAGCTTACCTTTAGGACCACAAGATCACAATTTTCTGTCATAGCAAGAAAATAGTAGCACATTGAGTTCAGTTGCACATCGAAAAGTTAGTTCTCCGTAATAATTTTTTTTCGTCTCAGAGGTCAAAATGATTCACATACAAACAAGGATCATAAAAATGAACAAGAAATCCATACAGGACATGAGAAATTTCAAGTTTTTCTGGGTGACCTGGAAACTATCGCTGTGATTTCCAGTTGAGTACTGACTTTCCTGGGTACCAGAGTTGTCCTGGAGCATTTGCGTCCCAATGCTGCAGGACTCTACTTCCTAGCCTTCTGCCTTCTTACACACCCAGCATTCAGCAGAGTCTTCCTTTCACAAGGCTTGCAGGAACTGAGCCTGGAAGCACCCTGAGTTCTCAAGGAATCAACCAAAGTTCACCTGAGGAATCAGCTGCTGTCCACGTAGCTGAGGTAACAAAGAGCTGAATTTCAATGTGAACTCCAATTAGTTCAAGGCTTTCTCCTGTAGGAAGGACTGGGCATCACAGGAAAGGAGGGACATTCCATGGAAAACACCAGTGCATGGCCCAAGTGCATAAGAAGGGAGAGAGGAGAGAAGTGGCGACCAGGGGGACACCAGGAGAGGCACTTCTGACCCAGCATACCCACAGATCCTGGAAAAGTGTCATCAGGACACAGCCACTGGCCTGCTCTGAAGGAGCATGAGATGTGAGAATGAATCCTTCTATAAAAGAAATTACATTGGGCCCTAATTTTACGGAAAATATTGTCCAGTGTCACACGTTAAAAATGCAAAGTCTGGTTTGGTTGTGTGACAAGTTTGACATATATTTGTGAATCTACAGACTGCATTGAACACAGAAACAGCTTTACAGTAAATTCTGTGCTCAACATTTTAAGTTATACTCTAATCATTTCTTTCACAGGCAAGAAGAGAAATGCAAAATTTATAGGATAGGCTTTAAGTATATAGAAGTTATTTTAAAAATCCATCATAAGATCTAGAATCAACAAACATTAATATAGTATGTATGAAAATCAAATGAGCAAATAGGTTTATTGTGTAGAATTATAACTGGTTAGCATAGATGTGTGTGACACTTTTTGTGTTTCTCAGTTAAATCTAGGAACATAAACAGATTCAGGTAGATACATGGTACATGACAGTTGGGTGCACACTGGATCATAGCCTAAGCTCTGAGGAAAGGACCACCTGGCTGGGCTTCATTTTTTTCCAAATACATGTAACAAAACATACTTCATTATTAACCATAAATGCATCTCGAGTAATCCAAGAAGATATGAAAACATAATTCATAATTCATAATGTCCCGTATGACTAGTAGTTTTGATTAAGCAGTCATTTCCTCTTTGCTCATGTGCTGATGATTTTCAAAGACCCTAAAAACTAACAATAAACAACCTAGAAAGGAGAAAGAAAGTACATGCAAACATCTCTTATCAAGTGATGTAGGCCAGCCACATGGCCTCTCTTGACTATCCTTGAATGTCCTCCTCTGCTCCACAGGCCCAGGAGAGAAACCATGCTGGTGTCTCAGTGCCTCTCCCGGCAACAGAAAAGGTCCATCATGCAGTTTCCTTCCACCTTCTCATTCTCCAGGCAAATCTTCCTGCACTTGCCTCGACCCAACCTGCAGGTATCACAGACGCTGCCCTCACCTGTGGGAGAAACAGCCACTGAGGCAGCCTCCCTGGTGCTCTGCAGAAACGGGGAGCAGGTCAAAGGCCACCAAAGAAAAGAAGATTTGCACGCATGATCAGAAACAGGAGTTTCAAGGATAACCCAGCTTTGCAAGGAAATCACACCCTGTGTAGTATGCAGTCGGGGGAAGATATTAGCCAGGGGTCCCCACAGTGCCTGCTCCCCAAACATCCAGTCTCAGACTGGATAAAAGCAAACCCAAGCAGGTGAAACACTGAGTGTGTCCTAGAACTGCAAAGACGGCTGCCCTAACTACTTACTTTCCTAAATGTAAGTAAAAGGGGTATTTGTATTGCTGGATAGATTCTTGAAGACTGGGTGAAGAATTTTAGGCTTCAGTCCTGTCTTGAGCTAGGATGGTCATGCATGTTTAATAACCTACTTATCACAGGATGTTCCTGTGCCCTGTGGACATTCTAGAAACAATGATTATGTTTTAAGTAGACTTAGATGTCTTTTGAATGATTACATATAAGAAGATTTGACTTATAATGCTACCCATCTCACAGGGATGTCCTGAAGACCACATAGTCCAGCCCGTGGGCAGCTGTTAGGTGCCTGATAGAGTCAGCAGTCAATTAGGCACAGCCTTAGTACTTATTACCATGAAAAGCATCTGGATCCATTCAATTTTGTCCACAGTTATCCAGAAATATTGGTTCAAATTCTCTTTACAGTGTGCTCAGCTTAAATGCTATAAAAACTTACGGATCAGCCTCAGCCACATGTGTTAAAAATGCGCAGGCCTGTATGATGTGACCCTACAAGAACATCTCTGCAGTGTACTTCCTGAAGAGCTCCTTTGAAGTGACCAAGAGTTTGCACACAGCCATCCTCACTCTAGGAGCTGGGCCTCCTTACACCACGAGATGGAGTTAGAGTGAAATTCAAGCAATTCTTCTTTCCTTGCTGTGTCCCATATTGGACCAAATCAGGGATAACTAACAAGGCCAGAGTCCCAAAGAGAAAAGAAAAAGTGACCAAGGAGATGTTTAACTTACCTGCTGGAAATAATGGAGCATAATCAAGTCCTCCCTGGCACCCTAAATATAAAAAAATTACTCTTTAGAAATGAATGTCAAAAAAAAAAAAAACAAATGTCAATGGAGGAAATGACCTTGTAAAATGGTTCTCACATGTGACATGTGACATCAGAACTACTGGTGACAGAGAAGCAGTTTTACTGTGTTTCTTCAGGACAACATCATAGTAACCCTCAAGACCAAGACACATGAGAAAAACAGAAGCGGGAGGAAAAGGAGAACCAGTGGCAATACACACATTTGCCTCTGCAAATATGTCATGAGAGATCCAAGTAATTTCTGAGAAATGCTGTGACTATCTAACTTTTAATCTGAACCTTCAGGTGTCACATGGGAAAAATCATGAAGCTTTCTGTTTCATCCCATATAAATCCATTTAATGTTGCTTACCAGATGGCAGTTGAGCCAAAATGAAGAACAAAGTGAAGACAAAGTAAAACATCATCCTGCGTGGGGCCATCTCTGAGGGGTGATTTTTTCAGAACAGCTGTACAGGATTTCTTTCTCAGGACAGGAACTCTTTTTATATTTGAAAGTAATGAGACATGCGCTTGGTTAGTGAACTGAAACAATACAGAAGGCGCAGTTCTATGGTCCATTTCCCAAGACCAAAGGCTGCTACCACATGAATAATCTTGGCACTGAAACATCTTCCATTTCAGGAGTCGGAGTGTCTGCAGGAACAAGACGACAGCGATCAAGAAGGTGGAGGCCAGGAGGCAAGAAGAGTTCAGCTAGAGTAATTCAGGAATGAGTGCTCAGTTACTGCTCCATCATTCTGAGGAATTATTATTGGGAAAAACCTGAAGCAATGCATATACTCTGCCAGCACTCCAGGTGGTAGTCAGGATCCAGATGGACTTGGTGCCAGTGTTTGCATCCTGATGAGGCTCTGGGGGAGACTAGCTTCTGTGTGCTTACTTTCCTCACTTGTGGGTTTATGGTCTGTAAATATGACAGGAGGAAGAGAGGGGAGTGCTCATTGTCCTCAGCTAACCGTGAATCTCTGCTTATGGAACACGACAGCATACCCTCAAGTCGTACATACATCTTTTTAAATCTACCAGAGTATGAAAAGTAACATTTGTATCATTGTCCATTTTCCCAGTAAGTCACACTAATCTGCGCCGCGCGGCCTCTGAACCCCCGACCGGCAGGGGAACTGACTCACACGACACACCAGAATGCAGAGACAGAGGTCGCGTTTATTGACTCTCCACACAGGTCGTCCCCGGAACGTTCCTCCCTGATCGGACTCTCCAGTGGGGCTCTCTCTGTTGAGTAACCCCGCGTAGTCCTCCACTCTCTATGGTCTGCGTGTCTTCTCTTCCTCTCTACCTCCTGCTCTGTCCTTATATCTATAGTCCTGTCCTATAGGGTAACAAGGCGTGGCAAAGTCTGATTGGGGGACATCAGCTGTAACTAGGCAGAAGCTGAGGGTAAGAATACGGAAGTAGGAAACGGGCGCCATCTTGGCATCATTCGATGGGAGGGGTAATCTACTGAAGGCTTCGCTCTTTCCTACAGGCCTCATCTGCTTAGGCAGGTCCTCTGGCTCGGCTCCCGACATCTCTCCCTTTTTTCTTTATTAAAGGCGGTGGATCTAAGGGTCCCTCCAAGGTATGATGTTGTTAGATACCTGGGAGTGGGCCTACTTTGTAGGCCACGGCATGAGAGAATGTAGAGGTCTATACCCCGCTGTGCATCACCTCATTTCGATGCATATCCTCGCGCTAGGACCATGCTTGAGGTGAGTGGTTCATTTTTTCGCAGGGCCAGGCTTTTGTGAACCGAACCTGGATGCATATAGACATTCATTCCTGCCTTCCCCCCAGCTTTGGGGCGGGTGGCACTGCAGTACCCTTGGTCTCGCATCTCAATGCCAACAACTTAGCTCCATGAGAGGACCCTAATAGAGTGGGGTCTGTCTTAGGTTGGTCGGGAGAGCCCCTCCCGCCTTACCCGTCATTGACTCCATCACTCATCTCCTCGGGGAAGAAGGATGCCATCCAGAGGCACCTGTCTTTCTCGGTCCCCAACTGATGCTTTCCTCAGTAAACATGATCCAGTTGGGCAGCGAGGAAGCATTTGGGGGCTTAAAGGTGGAGAAAACCACCATATCATTAGAGAGGGGCACAGTGATATTGAACTCATGGGAAGTAATCGGGGCATCAGGAAGGCATGGCAATCTAGCTGTACAGTTGTGGGCATAGGTTCGCGGGAGGGTTGGAGATGTAACTGAAACAATGGACAGGGCTGGGGGATGTAGCCCCCCATACTATTTCAGCATAAGCACCGTTAATCAGCAGTAGTACCGCCAGGCATATTTTATGCCAGTTGACAGGGCGCGGTGCATGAGCAAACAAGAAGGCGCTCCGTCCCAGGCAGACCCCAAAGAGGGATACCAGAGTATACATTACCACACCCAGCAGTAGGTGGTTCGGTGCCTCGGCTAGGGTGTCATTGTTCTCCTTCTGCGTTGTCAAGTTGGTCCTTAGCATTATGGTCCCCTTCTCCTTTTTCTTCCTTTGTGGGGCTTGGAGTCTTTCTTATCAATCGCTCCGGTACCCACAGTGGTTCCTTTTCCTGTGGGGACACACAAACCGCGCCTCGGTTCCAGCTGACCACTGGATCCGGGCCCATCCACTGTCCCGTTAGGACATCCTTCCATTTTACCCATCCTTTGTTGGCGGGAGAAGGGCTACAATGCTCCATCGCCGGGGAGCGATCATTGCAGTTTTGATTCAAAAAATTATATGTAAACAGTGCCATGGATAGTCTTGCTTTTGGGGTCAGGCTGTGGCCTATTCCCCCTTTTTGTTTTGTTAAGATGTTTTTGAGGGTTTTATGGGCTCTCTCAATGATGCCCTGTCTTTGTGGGTTATAGGGGATTCCATGTTTTAACTGGACTTGCATGGTTTCACAAAATTTTGCAAAAGATTTCCCAGTGTATGCTGGGCCATTGTCTGTTTTGAGATGTCTGGGTTTTCCCCAGGCTGCCCATGCTGCCAGGCAGTGGTTAATCACATTAGACACCTTTTCCCCTGTTTCCGCTGACGCAAAGATTATATGAGAGCAGGTGTCTATGGAGACATGAACATACTTTAGAGAACCAAACTCTGCCACATGAGTGACATCCATCTGCCAAATGTCGCCAGGGGTCAACCCCCTAGGGTTAACTCCGACTGACACTACAGGCGAATGGGTGTCACATGAGCCACAGAGTCGCACAATGTCGCGTGCATCTGCTCTGGGGATATGGAATGTATTGGCAAGAGTCCTGGCATTAACATGAAATTTGCCATGAAATTGACGGGCTTGTTCCAGTGGGGACAGTATATTGAGAATCCATAGCGGGCGAGTAGCCGCATCCGCAGCCGCATTGCTCTGCACCATGGGCCCCGGTAGGTGCGTATGTGCTCTTATATGAGTGATAAACACTTTATGGTGTCTACTCGTGAGCAATGCCTGGATAGATAAGAACAAGTTTGTTACTTTAGAGGTTGGCTTGATTGGGCCCGCAGTTTCCAGGACCTGTAGGGCATTAACAACGTATTTCGAATCAGAAACAATATTGAGGGCCTCTGAAAATTTTTGGAGAACTGTTTGTACAATCAACAACTCTACCACCTGTGGTTGATCTGGTTCAAACTGTATGGTAACCGGAGACTTACCTGAGACTACATAGGCCCCTATCCCGGTTTTCGACCCATCAGTATAGATAGTTGTTGCATGAGCAAGAGGTGCGGAGGCGGTGATCTTTGGGAATATCACCGGATGTTGAGTAACAAACTGTAGTATGGGGTCCTTAGGAAATTGATTATCTATATCCCCGGGGAACACGCATCTCAAGATGGTCCAAGTATCCAGGCAGGCGGTCAGGGTCTTTATCTGAGAAGCAGTATAGGGCACCCGAATGGCATAAGGCGGGGAACCAAGATGTTGGATCGCTCTACTGTGCGCCTCCAATGCCAGAGAAGCAACTGATTCCGGGTAGTGTTCAATGACCTTGGCAGGTGAGACCTTAGGGTGCACCCACAGGAGTGGTCCCTTTTGCCAAATCACCGCCGTGGGCTGACATCTGGTCTGCAGCAAGCAGATTTCGAAAGGCTGTCCTGGGTCAATCCTCTGTAAAGTAGCTCTACTTATGGCCTTTTCAACCCTCTCTAAGGCAACCCTGGCCTCTGGGGTGAACTCTCTGGGGGAGGCAATGTCCGGGTCCCCCTTCAAGAGATCAAACAGAGGCTTTAAGTCAGAATTGGAGACATGTAAGTAAGGTCTGACCCAGTTTATATCTCCTAATAACTTCTGCATGTCATTTAAAGTGGTGAGATTATCCGTTCTGATGGTTACCTTCTGCGGAGAAACCAGAGTAGAGGACAGTTTGGCACCCAAGTAGGTCACCACTTCTCCCCCTTGAATCTTGTCAGGGGCAATGTTCAAGTTAGCCTTTCTCAGGGCCTTGACCAGTTGGCCTAACATATCTTCTAACATTTTTGTTTCCTTTGCACTGATAAGCAGGTCATCCATATAATGAACGCATCTAATCTTGGGGAAGGCTTTTCGTATAGGGGTCAGCAAGGAATCCAAATAGATTTGACACATAGAGGGACTGTTGGCCATACCCTGAGGTAGGACCACCCATTCGTATCTGAGATCAGGGCTCTCCTGGTTAACCGTGGGCAGGGTGAAGGCAAATCGATGGGTGTCTTCCGGATGCAGGGGAATAGAGAAAAAACAATCCTTAAGGTCTATGACATAGACTGGCCAATGTCTTGGGATCGCTGAGAGTGCCGGAAGCCCCCTTTGAACTGCCCCTAAGGGTTGCATCTGCGCATTGATCGCTCTCAAATCATGGAGCAGCCTCCATCTGCCTGATTTCTTCCTGATGACAAAAATGGGGGTATTCCATGGGGAAGTCGACGGCTTTAAGTGTCCAGCTTGAAGCTGGGTTTTTATTATTTCCGTTAGTGCTGAGAGCTTCTCCTTGGGCAGGGGCCACTGAGGTACCCAAACTGGACTTGGGGACTTCCAAGTGATTTTAATCGGGGTGGGTAGGAGAACTTCTTCAGTGGCCCCTAGAAAAAACCCAGGCCATGTCTGCCTTCCTTCTTCTCCATAGGTACAGGGGAAGTCTGGCCCTGTAGGGCAGAGCCCAAGCCCTTGCCGGGGATATACCCTTGATTCTTAAGCATGCCCTTGGCCTGAGGAGAACAATTGGATGTAAGGGTGACGTCCATCTGGGTAAGGATGTCTCTCCCCCACAGAGACACTGGCAGTTGTAGGACAAAAGGCTGGAAATGACCCTGGTGGCCTTCCTCATCACACCAAGGCAGGGTTATGGCGCTAACCTGAGGAGCTGTCACCATCCCTAACCCTTGAAGTGTGTTGTCTGCTGTATTTGTGGGCCAACTAGAGGGCCAGTCCTTCTTAGAGATGATAGACCGATCGGCCCCAGTG